GAACTTGACAGTTTGCGTTTTAGATTTATTAAAGTAACACATTAAAGATGTAAAAAGTGAGTCATATATTTTGCAGATAGTCGAATAAATTTTAATTTGATCTTTTATAAATTAATTTATATTTATTTTGAGTATAATTCGTAATACTGCATTATTTGTAAATTTTAATGAAGCGCCTTAACACTACCATAGTGCTGGATAGAGTTATTTGATTATAGGTTATTTTATTTTTAAAAATAATTATAATTTCTATGTATTTTTAGCAAAACTGAAGAGTTACTTCTAAATAGTACGTACATTAAACACGATATTCAGTAATTCATTATGAAAATACCTTTATAAAATAAGAATTCTCAAGATAACAAAAAATAAAAATTATTCTATCATGTAATTCAAGAATAAAAGAATGTGAAATTTAAATAAAACTTTAATTTGCCTAAAGAAAATCCATTCTTACGTTAATTAGAACCATACCTGAAATGTTCTGTTTAATTGAAATATTCGAATTTTTATTATACAATTTGTTGTTTTCGTAGTATTCTTCATTAAATAATATTTGATACACGAATAATTTAAATATATATTAATTTTAACAAAACTTATTAGCGTCAAAAATTTGACTTTTTTTATTATTATAACATGTTTGAAAAATTAATTGCACGAACTTTTTCGAATGAAATTGAAAAATTAAAATATATATAAGAATAAACGTGTTTTTCACACATTTTTTGTATTTAATTAATCAATTTTCATTAATCAAGAACAAAAACTGGCTGTTATTTTACTCATTAATTTTATTCCTATATAATGTAATCGTTTTATAGAAAAATTTACACGAATCATAAGTGAATTTTAATTTTACAATTTCTTTTTGTAAAGAATATGTTATAAAAACTTAAATGTTAAATGTATTTCTTTGGTATTAATGAGTTGTTAAAACAAACCAACGAATCATACATATATTTTTTATTTTTATTTTTTCACTATGTTTCAATCAGTCTCTAGAAATGTAACTATAAAACTAAAGCCATAATCTTGGTTTGCTTATATTTCAACAGCATTATTTTAATTTTAACAATGTAAATTTAGTATTATGTTACTAATAAAAAATCTCAAACATAGTCTGGCAACTATAAATGTATATTAAAGAAGAATTATATGGTAATGGAATTTCATTTTTCTTCTATCAGCTTAAAAATCTCATTTTTCCAAAGATGTACTTTACAAAACGGAAGTTTTAAAATAATAATAAACTATCACCAAAGGTAGCTAAAGTTTATCAACGTATATTATTTTTATAATTATTTTATTATTTACGACTGTAATTTGACTGCAAGTATAAATAATAGAATACATATCCATGAGAAAACTAGAAAACTCAATAAGCTTTAGCTGTTGTACATTCTCATAATGTAAACAGTTATCACGTGTGAATATATGTTATTATAACCCTAAGCAAGAAAGTAGAACTTTCTTTAGAATATTTTCATCGCGTGTACTTCCTGAAAATAGTAACAATAATAACAAATTACGTTTATAAATTCCATATGCTGTATGCTTGATAAGGTATAAAGAACACCCTTGTCATACAACGGCAGGGGACACTGAAAGACCATTCAAAGAAACAAGCTCTAAGCTCAAGATTATGTGTAACATCATAATAATGTACGTATGTGAGACCACATAAAACGTACAATATAATAAAAATCGTGTTGTTACCGTTATCAAGGTTTAGAGGTTAAATTCTGTTGGAAAAGTTTTGCTTCATAAAGAACTATACGTACAAGAGCATTATATATTTTCTTTCATATAATATGCTGTTGTGTTTCGACATAACAAAGACAAGTTAAATCATAAATCACTTTCACATTTCACTTTACAAAATATTGACTTAGTCTATACACAACGCATAATAGTCTATAGTTTTGTGAAATTCGACAGTGCCTCATTATGTATAATTAATTATAGTAATTTCCATACAATATCGTGAAAATTTTTTTTTCAATTTAAGATTTTAAAATGATTTGTTGACGTTAGATGACATAAAAGAATGAGTTTACTCATTACTTTTCTCAGTTTATTTTTCTTACAAGGAAAATAAGCTTTTTAAATAATTTAAAGGCGTTTGATTTGTCCATTGCTATGTAAAAGGCAAGTTAGCCTTATAGTTTCAGCGATGAACTGTTTCTGATATAACATTAATGCATTCGTAAACTTTTAATTAAAGCTGTGAAACAGAGCAGCTGTATAATTTTGACAATGGCGTATTTTAAATTTAAAATTTCAATTATACTTTAAATCAAACTTTTTGTTAAATTTATCAAACACCACAAAAAAAAAAAAAATAAATTATAGGCCCTTTTGATCTTATATAGTCAATTGATGGTTATGAAGATTTAAAATTCAGTAAACTTGTACAAAAGAATCTCCGTCACGTTTATAATTAACTTAAGTGTTGTAACCAGAGGGCATCAACCATGATAAAAAATTATGAATACCTAAATTATTTTATCAATGTTTTCTATAAAATTAAAATAAATAAATAAAATCCGACGTTTTATATCTTGAAATTAACATGTAAAATAAACATGAAAATTTTAGTAAAATATAAAATATATTATAATATATATTATTGTTATAGTTCAAAAGAGAAAAATCATTTAAATAAAAATAATACATAATAGTTACTGAACAAAAGTTATAGGATTTCTCAAAACATACGGAACAATATATATATATATATTATATTTCATTAGGTCTATTAGGTGCATTATATATTTGTTATATCATTCAGACCTAATAAATATTTAATTACCAATGCGTGATTAAAACCCTTTCTGATTACTTGAAATTCATTAAACATAAATTATATACTATTATTCGTACTGGTTGGTTGTTACCTAAGTTATATAAATGTATTTTATTGGTATTATTTAAAATGAATTCTGATTAATGGGAAACATATAGTCAATGCGATGCAAACTGAAGTTCATAGTTATTAAAATAGAAATTATTTAATGAAATACTATAACTAGAATGATTTTTACCTTAATTGTTTCTTACTTCTATGAATGTTTAATGATATATACTGTTTATTATTAAAAATATAGTTATAAACTGCAATAAATGAAGAAATTTCATTCATTATAAGTCTAGAGCATGCCGTTCGCTGTGAAATATTTGATTTAATTATTTCTTATTACACAATATAACCGATTTCATGTACAAGCATTATTAAAAGTTTCATTTCGAACAGCGAAGCAGAACCGCTATAAAATAATTTTTAATTCAAACTTTAAAACGCCAGGGTTTTTAGTTTGAGTTCCAAAATCGTTAAACCAGCAATGTATTGTTCTCGGCTTATAAAAATTAACCTTTATTACTTTTACATAGGTACTTTGTAAGCAGCAATTGAGACGTTCCGCTTTTCTTCTTAATGTGGCTGTCGTAGTTACATAGTGAAGAGTTCTTGCTCCTCGAATAATTATTCTTTATTAACTTTTAGGGCGAATATCTTTTATAATTTAGTTATTCTAACTTTGTAAAATGTTCAATTAGAAATATTTCAATAGCGGCAACTTTAATATATGTAAATTGATCGTTTATAAATGTATTATTTTTTCGTGTCAATAATTATCGCCATAGCATCGCAAAACCATATACTGGCTTATCGAATTATATTTAACAGCTTTCAACTTGGTTCATAAATAAAACGTACTAACTGTTGGCTCTGTCTGACAATCGCATTATGTCGTGGTTCATTATCTCTTGCAAAACCCGTTTCAGCAAATAAATCGGAAACACCCGCACAAACTCTTGACGCTTATCAACCACTTTCGGCTCCATCGGTTTGCTAGCGACTCATATTTGTACCACGTCCAAATTTCCTCATTTTGCCAACTGTTTGAAACGATACCCCGGCGAATTACACAGCCACCGTCTTAGCCATTTTAAGTCAATCGCCCTTTCCTTTTACATCGTGGCCTTTTGAATGTAGATTATCTCATTATACACAATATTATAATACGACGACGAAGACGGCAATAAACACTACAAAAAGCCCTGTAATTTTCGCAGTGTGTCTTATCCCCATTCTATTTATACAGGAGCTTTTTTGACGAAAAAAACTAATTGTGTTGGATTGGCATCAAATTGATAGAAGCAAACCCAGCGGTGTGTAAAAAGGAATAAATTTCTCCGGGCTGTTTAATGGTGTTACGTGGGAGAGAGGGCTCTTGAACTTTGTCCGAGACTTATTCTCCACACCACAATAAGTCAAAGAAAAGCTAAAGGGTGTCCTAATAATTCTCCAAGACATACGATCCGGTTGTGATGCGGAAATCCATCAGTGTTAGTACCAAATTAAAATACTATTCATTATCATTCTATTGGAATGTGAAATTAAGAACTCCTTCGACGACCCTTTTAATTGTCGCCAGTTAATTGACTCTCTGTAATGATTATGTTGATAAACGCGTTAATTTTAGACGTTTTTACAATAAAGTCATATATTTAATCGTATTATACAACACTAAATACCTTATTGTATAAAAAATACATTTTAATTTATTAAAATTAAAGACTGCGTTTTAGAGTTTATTTAAAATTGTTTTATAAGGATTATTATAAGTTTATCGAGATGAATTTTAGAGTTACACGATTTCAAGTATTTACAAAAGCCAATGACACAAAGAAAACGCTTTTCATATTATAAATTTTTCCTTATTTCCTAAGGAAAATAATCAAGTCATTGTAAAATAAGCCCTATTTTAAAAATCATAATAATAATGTATACCATTAGATCTTAAATATATACCTGCACTTTAAGTATAAATATACGGCATTTACGAATCTTACCACGGTAATATAATGATCATTAGAAGAATAGTATAAAGTATAATTAAACCATAGATTATTTGATATATAGTATCCATAAGGCGTAGACATATAAGTTAATTTCGTATATATATATTAATAGCTACAAGTGATGTTTTACTTACTTTGTTTCGTACTTTCTTGGTTTTCACTATCTTGGGTTATTGAACTTTGAATAACAGCCTGCAAATATAAATACAACGGATCAATTTACGTAAATTCTCATAATTAATGATTTAACATGAATATCAACACACAGTTCTAATTAATAATTTGGAGACTTTCGGAAACATTAATTGAACCTTACGTAAGCTGTACACACAATAAATCTAAATTACAAAATAACATTATACTAAGCAAAAATAAATAACTTTATTAAAATTACAAGTATTATAAGCCTATGAAACAAAAATGTTAATGATTTATCACACGCATGTTTTTACCAAATGAATGAATACGTGCTTTAAATTATTGAAAGCTATTTAATATGTACAACAATTATAAACATATTGACGTAATATAATGTATGCTCGTACCCAAGTAAACAATATATTTTAGATGAGTTAATGGCTGTTTTTTTTTTGTTATGTTAAATGAAGCCATGTTAAGCATAGAGTATAATTCTTTGTAACAAGAAATAATAAGTTTAATTTTAAAATCATCATCAGATTACTGAATACAAATTTTAAATAATCCTTAAGAAATTATTTAAATATTATTATTAAATTGAATAATTTAGTAAAAATTAAAAAAAAAACAGAACAGTGAGGTGCAGAACAACGGTGGCGTGGCATAATGTAGACGCGGTATAAATGGATATTTGACAACGAATAAAATAACTATCTTAAAAAACGCTTTGGTGAAAATCAGGAAATAATCTTTAATTTTTAGAAGGAATTGTTGGATTATTCCAAAATTAATATCAACTTCTACTTTCTTAATTATATGCTGATCACAAAGTTTTTTGATTTATAACAATAATACAAAAATAAATGCTTCTTATAATAATTAAATGTCTTATAAAATTACCTACTATTTAATATATGTTAAATATAAGTATGCAGAATTTCCGAAACATTTTCATTTTAAATTGTAAAGGTTATCTTTTAATGCTATTTTGAATCCCCCCATGAGCAGATAAATTATAAAAATATATATATACAAAATTAAAGAAAAATACCTAAGACTTATTTGAAAAAGTTATGTTAGTTTTAATTAAAAATGTTGAAATTTACCTATTTCAAAAATCACAATTTTATTGAGATTTCCCCCCATTTATGCAGAATGAGGAATTTTTTTAATTTTTGGAAATAATGTTTTCAATTAGATATGATTTGTAATCTTTTGACGGATTGTCGAAAAAAGTCGATCCAGTGAGACCTGAGAAAAAGAAGTGACAGACGCAAAATAAAATAATAATAAACACATCATAATAACATTAATACCATTTCAGCTTTGCATCAAAGTTAACATGTTTATTTTATTATAAAATTACATTAAAATTTTTTTTTAAAATATGTAAAAAGTACTATAAAGATTACTAAGTTAGCACTTTATAACTAACTAAGAATAATGAAATTGTTCTATTTCTATTATTAATAAATCAATCTCATTTTTAGACCATATTTTAATGTCTCAACTCTTAAACCCTCAACCAATAAGGTTATCTTGCAATTTTTGTTCAATGAAGTAGAGCGATAAATTATTTTAAAACGATTTCAGTTTATAGACACACATAACAAAGAAAAAGAGAAATATATATATATTTCTTTTGACGGTTAACAAGAAGGAAGTGATAAAATAGAGACCGTAAAAAAAATCCTTTTTGACAAAGATCTTTGTGAAGTTTTTTCTCCGTGGTTATATTCTTCATCAAACGCATTTGATTTGTGATATTTTTAAATTCAATCAAAATATTTAAATTTCGTATATTAAACTATTTTTTTTAATTAAAACTTACATTGTAATAAGTGATACCCAGTATAAGTAATCTCATTAAGTATATTGAAATATTTAAAGATTTTACTTATTACTTTTTAAATTAACCTTTAAATACTTAAACCATATTTTCGAAAACCTTTCTAATTACATTAGAATAATGCACAATATTCTTATATCAATACTTCCTTTTTCACATCATAGTAGAAATACACAATTTTTTACAAAAAATTTTAATTACCTACATTTAATGAAAGTTAATTTTCCAATTATAAGCTGTCTATAAAATTCCAACCAGTAATGAAATTCTTCAAGTGCATCACAAAGTTTACATAATTTCCTTAGTAAATGTATGTCTATTTCATTGTCATATTGCTAAATAATTCACCGCTCGTACAACAAACTAAGTTTTCTAAGTTTATAAACTATTAATTTCAACTACCATTATTTGAAATGTTTAGTGGGCATCATGGCCAACATTAAGACGACTCATTTTACATAAAGTAAATGCTAAGTAACTACAGCCTAGTACGATTAAAATGTTAAACACTTAAATTATAAAAATAAAAATAATCCGTTTAATAGGTTATATGCAGCTAATATATAATTAACTCACTATACCTATTTGTTGTAGTGCTATATATTTCAGTAAGACATTATTTAAAGCATTGCTGTACTTATTTTATCTATACATTGCGCCGTTTCATTGAATTAATTCAAAGTATAAAAGCTTCAGAAATTGTTCTTAAATTTAAAAAAATATAATTTTTATCTTTTTAATAAATCATTTATTAGAACGAGAACCAATTTTTTTTGAAATGAATCGCTTTTTATCAAAATTTTTTTATTAATCTCAACTGGCGTTAACATGTTAGCCTTGGAGAGGATAAGAGTAATAAGTATATATTATTTGTTTACCATAGCTATTTAACATAACTTATTTAACAATACAAAGGTTTTGATTAAAATGTAGTTTTTTCAATCAATTATTAGTATTAATAGTATATTACTATTGAGTATTATTAAAATAAGTATTATTTTCATTAAATGTTTTATAATTTGTTGACTTGCTTTACTAATTATAAAACATTTAAGTCTTTATCTAAAAATTTATGTATAATCAAGATATAAAAGACCTTTTTAAGTCATTATTCAAAACTCATTTAAAACATAATTTTGTTATATCTATTGAAAATAGAGCGGGATGGGATAGTTTTACATGAATATAAATGTATTCCATCACGCTTATTAAAACTCCACGTGTTTTCTACTTTTCTATGTAATTTAGAATAAAACAGTTTTCACAAGAATGATATTATAGAAATAATTGTTATAAACCACAAAGCATTAATTAGGTACCGTTTTTGTTCGTTTAAACCCATAAGCTGTCTCTTTATATTGAATAAATTTTCCTGTCAAATGATTAAACAGATCGTTCGGCAAATCGTATTAAACCTTTTACACGGCAAAGAAAAAGGGTTTTCTCTTAAACAATTGCATTACAATTAATTTTATTTAATTTGTTGGTTAAAGGGATTCTAAACCACAATTTCCCTTCTTTTGCATAGGTAGATATGTATACTCTACGCCATGTGGTAACAGTGCTCTCATACTTTCAGACCCTAATCAGTCACGACACCGGGAATTGGATTCACCATGACCATGATTTAGAGTAATAATTATTTATATGCCCCTTCGTTTTTCTTTAAACAATGCAGAGATATCAAACCAACTCTGATTGTTTTAGTAGGTTGTCAACTAAAATACCTTTTGCTTAATTGGTGCGTTTTTATAATATTGATAGTTTTGATGTACACAAATTATATGAATAAATTTTGAGTACTTACGTTACATGTTATATTTTTGTAACATAATAAAAACATAAATTCCGAAAAATAAATGTAATAAAAACGAAGCAAGCATTTTGGGTAGCTTTAGTACATGGAGATATTAAATGGAAATATTGAATAAAATGAATATGTTATTAGTCAAATAATAATATTGTATGTATACAGCCAAAGAAGAATTTCTATTATAGTTTTGGATGATGAACGTTTGCGTTATCCTTCCTTAGGCACATCTACATAATATAAACAACGACCAGGAAAGAAAAACCCGATAAAGGAAACGTTTCTGAACAGACAAAATGCATAAAACTCCGGATATTACATAGCTGCTACCGTTGACTTCCAGTCTGCATACTTTTATAGTGAATGCACGCGACTTCCGGAATGATAGTATCTTACTGAAATCTTGCCCATTATATTATTATTCCATGGTAATTATTGCTTGAAAGAGCCCCATAGAAGAGTTCATATCTTGTTATTTTTCTATAAGCCGGCTTAAATTCTTGTAACTAAAAATACGGAAATATATACTTTTCTTACATTTATTAAATATTCCTTCAAGAGTTAAACTTAAGCTTTTAACGAATAAATGTTATACATAAATTACAAACGATCACGTTATACAAATAATGTATATCTAAAAATGTACTCTAGTGAAAATATATTTCTTTACTTTTAGTAATTAAATTATAACAAGAAAAGCGTATTGATCGGGTAAACTTTCTTTTGAATCATTACACAACGATTATCTCAGTAAATAATTCAAGTATAGCATATCGTTAATTATAGTGATGCGAAGACATTTATACAATCATAAAGTTTTTTCAGATCTCACCGAACCGATTTCTTTCTACGATACGTCAAAAGATCACAAATCGTATCTAGTTAAAGATATTACCTTTAAAAATTGAAAAAATTTCCCTCGTTCCCCGCAAATGGGGGAAATATCCAAAAAAATTACAAATTTAAAAATCGCTAATTTTCAAAATGTTTTCACTTTTTTTTCTTAAAACTTCCATAACTTTTTGAAAAATCAACAAATCAACATAATTTTTTTTTATACTAAAACGTTAGATAATTACCTTTCATTTGATATCATTTTTTTGAAAATTTATCACTTAACCTGCTCATTAGGGGGGATTTAAAATAGCAACTTTTTTACAAAAATTAACTTTTTCAACTTAATTTTTGAAAATGTTTCGGAAATACTGCGTCCTTTAAATATATATAAAATTAAAGCTTATTTTATGTACTATAAAATGAAAAAAAAAAATTTGTCCCGACACTTTTTCTTCTACATTTAAACGGCTGCCGTAGTTAAAAAAACACTATTTTTGTGTTAAAATTTTCGATTTTAAATTTTCAACTTAAAAATGCTATAACTTGTTGAAAAATGTA